GGGGGGGGGGGGGGGGGGGGGGGGGGGGGGGGGGGGGGGGGGGGGCAATCTTATGTTTTACATGCGACGCGGAGCGTTGTTTCCACAGGACTAATCACTGATGGCCAATCGTGCCTTCCTGCTTTGGCAAAGTGTGGTACGGAAGTCGCAGGAGCAGGGGGGGAGGGTGTGTTAACAAATAACAATGTCGGCGGAACCCCCTGCTCGAATCCGTGTTCCCTCTTGTCCTCCCAAACAGCAGAGAGTCGTAACAACAAAGCAATACAAAAAATCCTCTTGGCTGTTTAGTCGTACATGACGCCTCCTCCAAAAGCAGAAAAACACCGTCAGAATAAAAATAGGTATCAATCCAGCCGCTTTTTTCTTCCGCTCACTGAAAAGACTGGAACACATCCCACTCGACTGCTGTGGATACATTCCGAACGGGTACTTTCTGTGTGTTGAACGTACATTTCTTAAAATATTTCTTGTGCTCACCATTCCTCGACAGATTCGTACACAACAGGTTTCCCCGCGTTTTGGTAGTCCATAAGGTAGTCCCACTGGGTCCACCCCATGATGCCCGTGTCATAATCTCTCAACGTCGACAGCTCTTCGTCGAAGTCGGAGATGGACCCGGAGCCATCGTACACTTGGCCCATCACGGCGAAGTTCAGGTCGCTAGTGCTCGAACTTTTTCCCAAGTTGACGATAAGGTTGGGAGGTGGAGGGTTGTGCATGCAGGAGGAGGCAAGCTTGATGAGGGACGAATGTTTCAATGTTGATTGACGCGCCAGGTGGGGTAGGGGTCGCGCATTTAGCAGGAGGTAAGCTTGTGAGGGACAGGGGGTACCGCAGAATAGGACAGCGAGGATGGAGGGGGGGGCATGGACGGGGCATACTGAAGACTTGGTGGGGCTAGGGAGCACGGTCGACTTGTCCATATACAACCCCGATCACAACAACACCAGCACCAAACATCCACACCGACAAAAGCTACGGTGAAAAAAAAACGCCACACCATCAATCCCTCGTGCAGATCACTACCCCTTCTTCCTGCCGTGTGGTACGCAGAGAGGGAACGTCACAACAAGCACGACGAGCACTAATATTAATACATCGGCTCGGCCGTCTTGGAAATCGCTTCGAAGTCAGAACGATAAGCTTCCACAACGCAAGAGCTACTACTATCAAAAAAAATACAACAACATCTCACCCATCTTGGAACATGATTCTGATCGCTACGTCAGCACGATCAGCACCCACACACAGAGCTGCTGCAATACAAGGAGCGAGGTTAAGTCAAGAACAGCTCACCCATCCTGGTACATGATTCGGATCGCGAAGTCTTCCTCCCCCGCCCGATGGTTGGCAGATCCGTTGTACAGGAGCTCGAACGCAAAGTGGGAAGCGTACCTGTGCCCGCGCCAACAAAAAGGGTCCACGACAAAAAAAAATGAGCTACTGAACCCTTCTGTGTGACCACAGGTTACAGCAAACGGCACATATGCCGAGAGCGCTGATGATTTGAAGACGAAAACAAAATGAAATGTCCACAGCAAGGACAAGGATTCGCGAAGAAAAACAAGTGCTACAGTGGGGTTCCCTGTTTAGTGCCTGTATATGCCCGAAAAATTCACCGGCACTATTCAAACTACGAACAATGACTTGGAAATTCAGAGTGTACCCGCCGAAAACACCAGCAACGGCACTTAACATGGACCCCCACCGTGTTCAAGCATCCGCAGCAAGAAAAATGCTTGGCGGCAAATCACAACAACAAAGAAGTCATGTTGTGACGTCCACAGAAAGAACAAGGACTCCCGAATAAACTGTCGCCGATGCACACATACCACCACCAAATAACACCCACGTCTGCTGCGACAACAAACTCACTCAGGAATGCCATCAATAGCGTCGATGTCGAGAGCCCCGGCGATGCCCTTGAGAGTCCCGTAGTGACCGGACGTGATGTGCATCCCGGGGAAGCGGCCCACGTTGCTCATGTAGCCGCTGCGCACGTGCTCGATCACCTGTGACATGCGGAGATTCATTCTGGAGCAACAGACGGGGGCGGGATTATTCAGGGAGTGTTTTTCGACTATTGTAGGCCCATGGCGGTTGTGTTGTATCTACATATAGCGTGCTAGGTGTTTTAGCACTACATACGGATCTACGGATATCTAGAAGGTTTCCGTACATCATGTTGGTACGTGTATCGTAGAAGTGCGATCCCCGTCCTGCCGTGCATGGGCCAGCATGCCCTGCTCACTCGTTATTAAGCCAGGTCCTGAGTCAAACCTTTCTCTGCAGTCTCTGACGATAAGCAGACCTAACCCAACCCAACATACCAACAACATACACGAACCTAAATCTCCGCAGATCTGCCATCTAGTGATGAGTTCACCGACCAGGGTGAGATACGGATACCACGTCGAGCAGCCTAAGGTAGCGACACAGTAAAAAACGTGGTTTCTAACACCCTCTGATGGCTGGAAGCAAGCATGCACGCACGTTCAAGGCGCCACAGGCGGTTCACCAGCACAGCACAGCACGACAACTCAGTATCGCAACCACCCCCGCCACCCCAACAGCAACATCAGTACAACTTATTTGGCACCCTTAACAATTACGACAACAACGACTTCGCCTCACAGAACCTTCCTCTACAACATCACAAAAACACCCGCAGCAACGCAGGCAACAGCGACAGCACCACCATCACGAAAACATCAACAGCAGCGTCGGGACAGCAACAGCACCACCAACGGCAACATCAACAGGACCTGCAATACGATGGCACTCACTCGGTGAGGTAGAGGCCTGCAGCGTAGCGGCCGACGACGTCTTGCTCGTACTTCATGTCTTCCACCTCGTCCACAAGCCACCCAAGGTACAGCCACCTGAGGACACAGGAGGGTACAGTGTGCAGCGTTCGCGAAGATATTATAAGGTAGAGCGCCCGGCACCCATGAGGACAATGAAAGGCACAGCGCCCATGACGACAATGGAAGGTACAGGGCCCATGAGGACAACGGAAGGTACAGGGCCCATGAGGACAATGGAAGGTACAGCGCCCATGAGGACAACGGAAGGTACAGGGCCCATGAGGACAACGGAAGGTCCAGGGCCATGAGGACAACGGAAGGTCCAGGGCCCATGAGGACAACGGAAGGTACAGGGCCCATGAGGACAATGGAAGGTACAGGGCCCATGAGGACAACGGAAGGTACATGGCCCATGAGGACAACGGAAGGTACATAATCCATGAGAACGATGGAAGGTACAGCGTTCACGAGCGTATTGACGGTTACAGAGTCCATGAGGAGTTCGGAAGGTACAGGGCCCGCGGCAGGCACCAAAAAGATTAACGAAGAACCTCCCATCTTCATCAAATTGAGGACAAGCGAGTAAAAGAACACTGCTCAAGCGCGCCTATCAATACCTCCAAGTACTACCGAAGGCAAAGACCGGACCACACCATCGTTATCCATCATTCTCTATTCCAAAAAACGGGTTGTTTAAACTCGAGGAGAGCAACCCTTCCGCGTGACCGCGGATCGGAGCTCCCACCCGTCGGAAATTCCATGAAGCTGTTGAAGTTATGAAAACAACAAAACACCTCGACATTCTTCTTCTGTGCCCTAACATCGCCGTACCGAAAGTGCTGAGCATAGGTGCATGTGAACAACTGCCAAGGGTGTTCTGCGGTCCCTATGCGCCGCCTCCCCCCTTGTTTGACGACTACGGCATGCACGAGTATGAGTATACCCCCCCCTTGTTTCAGCGGCTACTGTATATCCTCCGTCGATGAAGCAGAGGTGGAAGGCAGTGCTGATCAACAATTCTTGTCCTTTTTCGTCTGACTGACTGCCCAGGAAACAAAAATGTATAGGCATATGTACCATACCAATAACATGCAAAAGGCACCCGTAGACACCATATTCTCCACCATGCATGGTAGCTCTCTGTCAGTGTTTGCTGATGTCTCTGTTTCTGCCGCCACCACGCCCCTCTTGCCGCTTCCACTCACCCATCGATAATATCCGGGTACTGCTCCGAAAAGTCCGTGGGTATCGTCGCGGCATTGATGAAGTTAACGGTCTGATCCTTTCCTGCCGCCAACAGAGTCCTCGCGCAATCCCAGAGGTTGTAAGGGGCGTGCAGCTCCAGTTGGTCCTGCAGGTTCCAAGAAAAAGACAAAACAAACGTAAAAAAAAAACGGCCATCGGCATCAACATATGTACGGGTACTTTACCCTCAGGGCTTGCATACATCCGAAAGAAGCGCATGTGTTCCTTAAGTACAATTCACCAAGCACACGATGGAAAGAAACGTGCGTGTTGCTTTCATTCGCCAAAATACACACAATGCGGCCACACTATTTTCAGAGAAGACTGCTGGTTCTGTGCGTGTCAGACAGGAGTTTTCCGGAATGATCTTCCTGCCGCATCTTTTTTTGGTTCTCCACGAACTCTCACGGCGGCCTGTCTACCACTGCGCATGTGATACATCTCTACGATACCTGTGCTACACAAGAACGGACGGGAACAACCACAAAGTGGTCGATCGATGGTAAACATGGTTGGGCACGAAGAGACGTGTGAGGGAGGGGGGCGAGTCGGGCACCAAGGAGACATTTTCGTCAAGTGAGGTGTCTGTCGGCATACAGCATCGTGTGAAACGGACACCGGGCAACATGTACACGTACAAAAATTACATGTTCTGGCCGCCAGAAACTTGCCTTCTTCAGGCCTATTTGGAACGGAAAACGATTACAGTCGGGTCCCTTCTAAAGTGAGGGTATGCGCCAAGCGTTTTTACCCACACAAAAGCAGGCACCCCCAACATTCCACGCCTAACCTTTTTGTTTAATTCTACTGTGCCAGCCAGCTTCACCCGCAATACGAAGCGTATCCAAGTACTGCGAAGTGTACCACTTTCTGCCTGGAAGAATTGCCTTCCTTCCGTTCTACAAATATATAATGAAAATTGGATACCATACGACTTGCGCCCCTGACTGGACGATCTGTGCCTTCTCATTCGGTCAAAATGGAATGAACATACGACATCCTGTACCACTCACTGCCCGGCAGAACGTCCGGATATCTCTAGTTCCAAATATGTTGAAATCTTAGTCTCCACATGAAAGGTTGGTCCCAGGGGAACCATGGTTGGGTGAATGTGGCTCAGTATTGCCACTGAAATATTTGCCACACCATCAATTCGAACACCAACATTTAGCTTTCTAGGAAACTTGGCCAACACCACCATGGCACAAAGAGATAGCCGAAATCGACCACCGGTATAGAATGTGATTTTTTGGATGCTGAGGCCAACAATTTGGAATACTGGTTCTCGTTGCGTGTCGCTGTGCGGGTGCACAGACATCTCCAATCGCGGAAACAAGCGTCAAATCGACACCGTGCGAACAAAATACGCAATCACGCCTATCTCGAGGTTCGGGGGGTTGGCGTGCCATCAACCCTGTGAATTGTACGGTCAACAGTCCCGTGGGTCGACGAGAAGGAAACACACGGAAACCCGTCAACAACAACCGCATCGTACCGTGTTCGAGCTCAACAGCTAACTTGGCGGCCAGCGGCAAAAGGTGCACAACAAGCACGTCGAAAACCAGCGACTACAGCAGTACGCCCGACGTGCTCGAGCGAAGAAAAAAGGCACGTCTAAAGCCCAGCAACAATCTCTAGTGTGCCGGCCTATTCTCTCCTCCGCATGATCACACCTCCGCAAGTACCACCACATTTGAAGCGGGAAAATCGTCACTCCGTCTTTCCTCCCCCCGACTTCTCGCAACTTCCGCGCTACATTAACAAGTGCAATTACAACTGAGGCGGGGAAACGTCACAACGCCTTCCCCCTTATCTACCTGCCGCTATCACTGAGTCCCTCACCAGCTTCAACGCGATGACCTCGTCCCAGCAGTCCGGGTTGTCGTTAGCTCCGCGAAACTCGTCGAAGATGTTGTACACCTGGGTGATGAACCCGTCCGACCCATCCTCCTGCTCCTCGCTCGCCACGCGCTGGACACACATTCACACAGAAAGATGAATTGGAACAGAAGGCAAGGATCCGCAAAAGATAGGTTGGAACCGAAGCCAAGGGGGTGTCATACAGTGCCGGCGGTTCTAGGACAAGTGTGTGGAGTTGTCGGCATTCTTGGCACCGAAAAAAAAAAAGAGCTCGTGTCCGACGGAGGAATCAATCAGACACGACCTAATGCTCCGCATTCTGGGAATTGAAAGTCTGCTACGTAAATATGCCACTCGTGGAACTCCGAAGGCCCCGCTCGACGAGGCAACAAAAAGAAATGGAAAAAACGCCTTTTTCCGGCACACTTCAACGGAACCAGATTCACAGAAAGACAACCGGTATGAAAGAGTGCAACGCACCCCTTCGACCGGGTATTGCAATCTGTACCGGGTAGCATTTCAGTTACATGCATGCACATGCACGTTTTTAAAGAACGTTCGAAGGACCAGACCTGCAGCTCTTGGAACTCGTCCTTCTCGTAGCTCTGTATCCAGTTCGCGTTGTACACGGGACACTTGTCGTAAGCCGTGATGTATGCTGTTGGCAGCAAGAGCAAGGATCATCAACGACAGCAGCATCATGGGCGGAGGCGGTGGCGCCGACCACATCAGCATCAACACCGGAATCATATTGACAGCATCAAGACAACAACAGGAGCATTAGCAGTAACCACAACAACTACAGCAGAGTCATCACACAGGACCAGGCGAAGCAAAAAGAGTCGAAAAGCCTGGGGAGGCGATCGGGCGGGGAGGGCGATCAGCGACAAGGGCCATACGGACGCAGAACAATGGCCGAAATTGTTGAAACATCAGGGCACAAATTTTGCAAACACGTTCTACAGCGAAGATCTCGAACAAACTCACTATTTGGGGGGAGCAGGCAACCAACACCCTCACTAGATTGTTCCAGGAATTTTCATGGAATTTTCATGGTGGAGCACGTGACGTGCATCACTACCGCCTGTCTCCACATCCCGCGTACCGAACACCAAGAGATACTGGCCTCCAGCAGCCCAGAATCACAGCCATGTTCTCGAGCGGTGGCCCATACCGCTACTATTATTACTACTCTTTGTGTGCGAAATTACGACGATGCCCCCCCCCCCCCCCCCCCCCCCCCCCCCCCCCCCCCCCCCCCCCCCCCCCCCCCCCCCCCCCCCC